CCACAATAACCACAGTAAACACTTACATGTAATCATCATCCCAGCTGGCCTGCTTTTTTTTCACAATGTCCAAATTTCTAAATCCAGCACTGACAGAAAGTTTACCTCTGGACAAAACCCTCCAGCAGGCTGTGCAGCACGTGGCTGCGGTAGCGCATCAGGCGGACATCTTGAGGTGTGCTGTCCACGCACTGCCCGTTCAGAATGGGTCGCTCAAACATGTTGCTGAACTCCTGACGCGTGCCTAAAAAGTCTGGCCTGACAAAGTCCACCATGCACCAGTATTCAATGAGGTTGTTCTGCAACGGGTAACCCGTCAGGACGACTCTGCGCCGGGAGCGGATGTTCTTCAGAGCCTGTGATGTGCTGGCATGGTAGTTCTTAATGCGATGACCCTCATCACATATCACCACATCTGGGCCAGGGCGCACTATGGCCCTTTCAATACCTGAAAAGACAAAGTAACAAGGGAAGACTGAGTCAGTCAGTGAGTCTGTAAATGTAAATTAGACTGTGTATTTTGTGTCTCTTATGCTAATTTATTATATTTGTTTTATGTATATATATATATATATATATTTTTTTTTTTTTGGGTGTGGGGAAGTGGTTTTTTGCCTTTATTTTTTTGTGTCTTTTTGTGTGTGTGTGTGTGTGTATAAAAAAAGAGTGAAAAGACCAATTTCCCCTAGGGGATCAATAAAGTATATCTTCTTCTTCTTTATGTCTTTCGACAAAACAGAACACTGACAGGAGAGGGGGAGAGGAGGGGGCAAAGGGCCACAGGTTGGATTTAAACCCAGGCTGCTGTAGTTAGGACTCTAGGTACATCTTCCCCATTATTTATCATTTTTAATGGCACACAAACTCCCTGCTTCCCTTAAACGAATGACTTTTGCTGACCTTTCATGAGTTCCTGCTGTCTGTCTTCTTCATCCAGGTCAATGATGATTGGCCCTGCGGGCTTCTTTGATTTCCTCTTCTTGCCCATCACAAAGCTCTTCTTCATGGACAGCAGGCGGTACATTTCATAACCCATCAGCAAAACCCCTCCGTCTCTGGACCATTCCTCCACAACCTTGGCCCTGGCCAGCGTCGTTCTGCAGGTCACACAGAGGCAGCGTGATTAACTGCTCAAATCTTTGACAAGAACCTTGCAAACAACATGTGACATACTTGTGCTCATCGTTGAGGATGTGAACTTTGAATGCGCGGCCTACGGCGACTGTAGGGTCAGTGTCAGGGGAAAGGGCCTCTTGGGGTGGGAGCCAGAGGTTAAACTCTGTCAGCCAGTTCTGAAGTGTGTTCACCTTTTATGAAGGAGACAAAGATTTCGGAGGTTAATATATACAAAATAAAAACGTGAAAGGTGGTGTTTTAACACAGTAAATACTTTGATTACTCACAGGAACAATGGCCAGCACAGTGTGAGCCTCAGTATTGCTCAGAAGGATGTCAATGAAGGAAATGACCTGCAGAGTCTTGCCCAAACCCATGCTGTGAGCGAGGATGCAGCCAAAGCCACTGCTGGTCTTATACCGCTCCAGAGACTCGATGAGGTTATCATACAGAAACCGGATTCCTCCGATCTTAGAAATCAGGAAACAAAGAAAACAAGCTGGACTGTGGGTTTCTGTTAATGAGCGTGAATGTTTTCAGGCTTTCGAGAGAGAGTGGGCATATACCTGGTGAGGTTTGACGGCCCTGGCCAGCTGCGGGGCGAGGTAAAGGTCTTTCTCCTCTGCGGGGTGATTGATATTAACCAGCACTCGACCCTGGGCATCGGGCAGATTTAGAGCGTCGTTGATGTGTGCCCCGCTGCTCTCCTCTGAACTGGTGGTGCCATCTGCATCCTCATCAGCCGACTCGCTGCTTATCTGCAGGGCATCCTCGTCCCCAGAACTGAGTTCAATTACATCTGCGTCATCATAGAAATAAACACTGTGTGAGAGCTTGCTTGATTCTCATATTGTCTGGGAAAAAAATGAAGTTGCATATATCTTACCATCTCTAATGGCAAGCGCAGGCAGCGTGGGGTCCACTTTTTCGTCTTCATCGCCACTGCTGTCAAGACAGATCACATCCTGCTTGCTCAGGAGGGCAGGGACCAAGTGAGATACTTCTCCGAAAAGTGAAGCAGTGTCCACTATTGGAGAGATGGGAAGGTAGTGGGAGATTTAGGATACACAAAAAAGTCAAACTTAATTATAACTGGAAAGGTGTCACTTTACTGAAAGAGGGACAGTCACCTAGCTGAGAGTCTGGGACAATTGGGGCTGGTGTAGGGAAGTCCTTCCTCTGCTGCTCCAGACGTTTCCGCCTCTCCATCTCCTCCTGTTGAGCAGCCTTGGTCCCAGCCTCCAGCTGATCCTCTTTCAGCAGCTTTCTGTAAGCATGAGGGAAAAGTTCAGTTAAAAACAAACATGAAAGTATATTGTTTAATATAACGGAGGGAACATATCAAACAGACACGCGTACCTGATATTCTTCCTCATGTGTGCAGGCTTAGATGGCTTGGAAGGTTTGGAGCCTTTTGAAGACTTGGAGGATTTGGTTAATTTAGAGGCTTTTTGTTTCTTTGTTTTGCCGGAGTGTGGCTTGCTCTGGCTTGAGTTTTCCAGGCTGGTTGGAGAGTGAGAGGCAGGTCTGGAGGGAGACCTGGAGGATGGGCGGGACGCAGGCCGAGACGGAGGCTCTGAGGATGGCTCTCCGGAGGTAGCTGAAGTGGATTCCCTGCCATCCTGGGCTGTTTCTGTCCTGCTCTGGGCACTTGCAGGTCGTTCTAGAGAGAGAGAGAGAGAGATACATCATTAACTCAACAACATGAATTATTTTGTATGAATAAGAGGCACAAGTTCATTTTGTCACTCACCGACACTATCGTCTTCATCGTCTCCATCATTTTCATCCTCATCCTCATCTTCGTCCATGTCCTCCATGTCCTCCTCCTCCTCCTCCTCATTTTCCAAATACTCCTCTTCACTGTTAAGGCTGGGCTCCAGGTCACTTTCTGAAAGTGCCTCTTCAGACATGGCGTCTTACAAGGCTTTAAAAGTATTACCTACACACCTTCATCAGGAGCCCTACAAGATAAAAACACATCACAACTTTACAATAAAATTAAATACCTCATTATCTGACAATTATATTTAACAACCAGCTAATGTTTGCTTGATTAAATACTTGCATTGTTACGCGATTATGACAGTTGCTTGTTCAATTTAGTAAAAGAAAATAGACAAACAACACACATAGAGTCATCTCTGCAATTGCTAAGTATAACCTAACTTTAATAAAGCCATGACCCCACACAGGGAGGGCAGCACTATTGGAAACACTATTCATAACAGACTCTAGGCTGACAAAGGTAAAGAGAAATGTTTAAAATATTCCTGAGATGATGGAAGGATAATTGGTGATGCTGCTAATATGTGAACAGTAATAAAAGTCAATATGTTTTCTTTAAATTTAACTCAAAATATGGCAACACATGCTGCATTTTAGTCTTTACTAATTTGACCAGCATGTACAGAAAAGCAGAATACAGGCAACAGTGCAACCATCATAACAAGATGGATCCATCTATACATTGAAAGAACTTGGTGAGGTTAAGACTGCGGACCTCATGTCTGTGATTATTTTGTGCTTTATATAAATTAGCCAATTGTTCCTACATTACTCACACAGTAGACCGAGAATGTGGTATTGTTCAGTGCAGAATCTAATGTTAAAACTTCAAAGTTTACGTTTAAACATGAGGTGACCCACGGGAGGGATTTCAGCCAGGGGTTTTCGAGCCGAGAACGGAGGCGAAGCTAACAAGTAGCATGAAGCTACTTCTGTAGCTCATCAGTTATCATGGTGTTGTTGGTGTTGGTTAACAACAACAACAACAACAACAAACATCTGTCGTTAGTTGACAGGTTTATGGGGCTATCTAACTGAACGCATATACACACACTGCTGTTTCTCCGGCTGAGTCAGCACACCAATATGCTAGCTAATTACACAACAATAAACGACCAATCCAACCGCTGAAACAACGTAATGGATGATAACGTTGGTGTTGTATTAGCGGGCAGGGACACAGGACGACCGGCTGTAGCTCGGGGCTGACAGAAAAACGCAGCTTTTCCTCGCCGGCTGTGCTGTTTTAGTTTCCCGTCGCAGCCAGATAACAATCTTATATCGTGTAGGTGTAACGTAGAGGTAGCTAATGCTAGCCTGAATTACCACAACGCTAACAGTCGGTTGGAGGAGAGAGAGCTCACCTTATAGCGGCTCCGCTGTGCTCTTCAGGAGACCCCGCGGTGCATACGATCAATCAATCAATCAATCAATTAATACCTACAGTGGGAACAAATAAACGATGCTAATTTCCTTTTTTTTTTTTTTTTTTTTTTCCCCCAGTGTGACCATAAATACAGTCCCCGTAGAGGTTACTCCAACAAAGGTTCTGGGAGTGAAAGAGCCCGGCAATGAACAAATAAAAAACAATATATAATAAGATAAACTGTTTAACTCTTAATGTTTGCAGCACTGAATTGCTTATTTTGCCCCCCCTTTTTTTTCTTCTTTTAGTAAACTAGCTAAATTCTAAAAAGACTAAAACAAACTACTGTTAACTTCTTCCTAACCAATATTAATATAATATAATAATATACCGTATATTCCTACAAGTATTTCGATTATTAAATTAATAAACATTTCGTGTCTAGCACCGTTACTGTCTACTAATATTAATAAAGCAATAATAACATAATTTGTATAAAATAATAGCGCCCTCCCTGTTAAAAATGGGTTTTGTTTTAAGTAGATGTCACGACAATTTAATAAAAATGTACACTTAATAAACAAAAACATTTACGTGAGTATTGATCGACTGACTGATTTTTCCATTCATTCATTCATTTGTTGTTTTGCACTTTTGTTCTGACTACAGGAAGTTGTAGGTAGGACTGTTTTTTTTGCGACTACCCGTCGATTCTTGATGACGTAGATTGTAGACGGCCAATTCTGTCTATTGTGTTTATGTGTCCCCTGCCACAGTTGTTTCGTGAGTGGAGAGAGGCTTATCGTTGAATATTGTTACCCTTTCTTTTGAACATGGACTGGAAAACATCTTAAATATCAGTCAACTGTGCGCAAATGCAAAAATGAACAAAGGCTGGCTGGAGCTCGAGAGTGATCCAGGTGAGAAATGTCGGTAGATAACATTGCTAACTAATGTTAGCTTCCACATGAAGTCAGAGGCACAGTTTAGCTTCCATAAGCAGCTTGACTTATTAGACTTAAGAGAGCATCTGTAGGGCTGTACGACATTACGATACGGTTAAATGTTAATGTGTTTTTGTGCCGGTCGATGGCGCGAGTAACTGCGGGCGGAAAATGAGGAGGAATAACGTTATCATCAAAATAATATACGGCTCTTATATTGGTTTTCTGGTGTAGTCTAGTTAGGTATTAGTGAGGTTTTGAACTCTCAATACAATGTTTTATAATTTCAGGGCTGTTCACTCTGCTGGTGGAAGACTTTGGTGAGTAGCTCATTTACACTATCTAATGTGAATAACGAACTGGGGCTAAGAAAACCAAATAAAATGTTTGTTTCTGTAGGTGTCAAAGGCGTCCAAGTAGAGGAAATCTATGATCTTCAAAGCAAGTGTCAAAGGTTTGTAACTTGTGTTTGGTAGATCCAGACTATAACTATCTGGCAGGTATGTCAGGGAGTGATGTCCAAGATCAAGTGTGAATATAAACAATGTTCTTTTTCCTGCACCTTGTTGGGCTCTAGCAACAACATGTAAAAGGTATTTAACATAATTTTATGTTTTAGTCCTGTCTATGGCTTCATCTTCCTGTTCAAGTGGATTGAGGAACGTCGATCCAGGAGGAAAGTTAACACTTTGGTGGATGAGACCTCGGTCATTGATGAGGAAATTGTAAATGATATGTTCTTTGCTCATCAGGTAAGTCTTTTTGTAAGTCTTTTCATTAGTGAGCAACTGATCTATATTTTAACTCATAAAATGTATGTCAGATCTCCTAAGAGCTGTCTTGGTATAGATAATAGTGATGTCCATAATGTAAATACGATGCTCCTGCGAAATCTCATTCAAAGTCCAAATGTAAATCTGGACTAAATAGCAATCGAACAGCCCATTAGATAACAATTGTTTCAGCTTTTGAGTCATTATTTATTCATTCAAGGAGCAAAAATAATGTCAAATGTAATTCATAACTTATTAGGCCTCAAAGTCATTTGTTAAAATTGCTGTTTTATTTTAGCCACATGTATACATTTTATGAATTGTATAAAACTGTGTATTATGTATAATATTTGTACATGTATATATCCATCCATTAGCTGTACCAGCTCAGTGTTTAGAGAGTTGTGGGGGCCCTGGAGCCGACATGTTAACAATAATACCTAAAATAAAGTTAATAAAACAATTCTGAAAATCTGAATGTATTTTATGTTATATATATTTTAGGACTACCATAATACAAAAAATGTCATAATAGAATAAATAAATAAATAAAGACTATCCTTGCAATTCAAAGCTACACAGATCAAAATACACAGTAATAATGAAAGGATGTAAAGTCTTCCTAACATATGTAAAACTTTAAATCCAACCACTGGTGCCACAGAGCAAGGGAAGTATTTGACACACATTTAGCTCCTTCCAGCCTCCTTCCAAATCCATACCTGTGTATTCATATCTTGTAATAATGCACAAAGAACAAATAGTTAATGCATATTCTAACTTGGACTTGGGTTTATGCTGTCATTTTTGTATCTAGCTGATACCAAATTCATGTGCCACCCACGCTTTGTTGAGTGTGCTGTTGAACTGCAGTGGCGTTGAGCTCGGCACCACCCTCAGTCGCATGAAGGCTTTCACTAAAGGCTTTAGTCCAGAGGTATGATGTTTCTCACACTCATGTATGTCTACAGTCACCTTCTTGCTCACAGTCAGACACTTTGCAATCTCTCTCTCCCTCCTCACATTTAATTTTTTTAAATGTATTTTTCAGAGTAAAGGTTACGCAATAGGAAATGCCCCAGAGCTTGCCACAGCACATAACAGCCATGCCAGGTAGGTTATAGTCACTGGTTTTTTCAATTTTCAGGTGTCTCTGATTCTGTGAAAAAAAAAATTCTCTGTGATTCGTCTACAATACTGTGGGAGAGGCTTTGTGAATTCATCAGTTTCTCAAGCTCTCTTTCTGTGTTTCTATGGAGACCGGAGCCCAGGCACCTGCCGGAGAAGCAGAATGGGATCAGTGCAGTGCGGACCATGGAAGCCTTCCACTTTGTTAGCTATGTGCCCATCAAAGACCGCCTCTTTGAGCTTGACGGGCTCAAGGCTTACCCCATTGACCATGGTATGACTACACGCTGACATAGAAATACACTGTCCTGTTCTTGTCACACTGACTTTTTAGCATTTCTGCTGCCACGGAACCACTTTAATTTGTTACGTTTCATCATTATCATTTTAAGCCACTTTTAATCCAGTGTATAACCTTAAAATCAGGTATATCCTCATTCTTCATTCCTCATTGTATAAAAACAAAAGGGACAAAGCATTTGGCTCTCACGGCCCCCTACACAGAGGAGTGCTTTTCCTAAAACGAGCAAGAAAATTTTCAAATAACAATTTAATGATTTCAATTGCTGCAGTTGGTAAACATGTATTTGGAAATTAAAGTATAATATTTCACTGTATTTTAGGGCCCTGGGGAGAGGAGGAGGAATGGACTGATAAAGCTCGGCGGGTTATCATGGAGAGGATTGGACTGGCTACTGCTGGGTGAGTCCCGAGCCTGTCAGCTCAAGCAGTAGTGGTTCACCTTCTACACACGCACACACACACACCCTCAAGGCTTCATTCTCACGCTACCGCTCTGCTCTTTTTCAGCGAGCCGTACCATGACATTCGCTTCAACCTGATGGCAGTGGTGCCTGACCGCAGGATGAAGTACGAGTCCAAACTGGAAATTCTAAAGAGGAACCGACAGACTGTTCTTGAGGGTCTACAGAAGGTCAGGAGCTGCCAGAAGTTTCACTACAAGCTGATTTCAATCCCACAGCTCCTTTAGTGAAAAATCGACCTTCTTCATTTGACACATGGGAGCATAGTGTGGTTAGATGACAAACTTATGTGAGCAATAGCGATAAGGCATTGAGATAACAGTAAAAGTAATATTTTTTTGGCTTCAAATGAAAAAAATAGATTAATTGCTGTAAGCGTTGCTGCAGCATGTCATAGTTGGCACTCCTAATTAGAGCATGTTAAACTTTTTTGTAGCAGGATCCTCTTAGTCCCGTCTTCTGGCATACTTGAAATATATATATATGGTGGAATATCCTCTGTATTTTGACATGTCTTCAGATGATCCGGCTCACTCAGCCCGAGCTTGTTCATGACAAGAAGCAGCAGGACTCTTCCTCCCCTGACGACAGCACCGCTGCGATCAAGAAAGAGGCAGATGCGGAGCCAGTTACATCCCAGGGGACTGATCAGGCTTCTTCAGGTACTTTAGCTGCCTTCGTTTCCGGAGTCTTTGTTAAAGTATATCTTGTAAATTGCCTAGGGGCTTTATTTTTATCTCCATTTGAATGTTGTACAGATTGTAAAGCCCCCTGAAACAAATTGTGATTTTTGACTATATAACATTAAACAACAATAAAATTTGACTTAACTTGACTGTCATAAACTTTCAACTGAAATACACTTGACTCTCATTTTAGATTCAGTGGATGAGTCAGCAGTTCAGTCTAAGGATGCCTCTAGTCCCTCAGGAAAAGCAAAGGTCATGGGCAAACCACCAGTCCCCACAGGAGGAGGTCCCCAGCAAGTCACCAGTCCCAACCCCATCGTTCAACGCCTGCCTGCCTTCCTGGACAACCACAACTATGCCAAGTCTCCAATGCAGGTAAGAGAAGAAGTGAAGCGTGTATGGGCTGGCTCAGAGAGGTAATTTGGTTGTACTCTTTATATTTGTTAAGCTGCATTTCCACCAAACACTTTCCCCTAAAACCTAGATCTGTTTTGTGTTTCCATCACAGACAATACTCTTAAATGTAGCTGGGGTTGTTGTGGGAGATTTGAGATTAACCCCCTTCACTTTATTAACTGACACGTTATAACCTACACTTTACATTTACTGCCAGATTGACAACTTACTGCTAACCCTTTCCTCTGCTCTGCTCATTCCACCATCACATTTATGCCTCTCCTCCTTGCTCCTGCTGTCTCTGACTCGCTCCTCGCTCTCTCTTGCTCAACCACACACTCGCTACCCACACATGGTATGTGGTTGTTTATTAACCTACAACAAGGAGACGAGCTTTGTTTGAGAAAAGGCTGCAGGCAGCAAGACAAAAGACTGCTAAAAATTGTGAGAGTGTGGGAAATCTTACATCAGAACATAGAGTTGATGAGCAGAATGGAGTGGATGTGTTAGTCCCATCCACTACTTCTGACAATGGAAGTGCAAAAATAACCCAATGTGTGGGTTATCACTGAACTGGACTGCTTGGTGGAAACGTGGCTTTAGAGGATTTAATTGTATTGTATAATGAGGGTTGTGAAATGATTATTTCCATCAGTTACTCTGCCAATTGTTAATTAATCAATCATGTGCTCCATAAGATGTCAGAAAATTGGGAAAAATGCCTATCAGAAGATTCCAGAGCCAAAGTTGACATCTTCAAATTGCTTGTTTTGTCCGACCAACAGTCCCATAGTGATAATTTGCTATCATATACAACACAGGAAGCCTTTAAAATAATTTGAACAATTAATTGGTTATCAAAATGGTTGCAATTTAGTTTTCTGTTGATTAGTTTATTCAGTTTTAGTGTTGTGTTCAGGACCTGTTTGTTAATTTAATTTATTATAATTTATAATTTATTTGATATTACCCTGTACAGAATTTACAAAATAAATTATTCAAATAATTTTATTTCATTTTCACAACAGAAATCGACAAACAAACCCCACACACAACCATCAACCCGGGACCTTTACAAAATACAGGAGCCTTTGTTAGCCTATATTGTATTAAAAATTCAAATGTTTTTGTTTATATTTGGGGCACTTCCCAGTTTTCATTTTAGACAACACTAATTTTGTTGCAATGGAAATACATTTGATCTGTCTAATACTGCTAAGACAAGTCAATTTTATTTGTATAGCCCTTTATGACTTCCTTTAACCACCCTCCCCTATTAGCATTACACTGACAGTAGTATGGAAAAATTACTATTGTACTCTTCGTGCAGCTAGGACAGATCATACACTGCTCTCTGTCCATCTCAGACTTCACTTTGAGACAGTTCACTCTGGGTGTTATTCTCTCCCTTTATGTCATTGAAAATCCTTCTTCCTCCCTGGTTTTGGCTCCATCACTCTCTCTTGCACAGTTGCAAAGGCTTCTTTACTAAGAAGTAATTTCCCCACGGGATTATTAAAGTATGTCTGATTCTGATTCTGATGGCAATAATCAGAAAATACACCACTGTACTGATAGTTAGATTTTATTTGATCAGCTCCTGTTGTTTAATAGCCCAAATTCATCTTTGGTGGCCCATAAAATCCTGTTAGTGGCTGCAGAAACTAAATCTATGGATGTTTATTGAAGATTTTTTTGATTAACAGGAAGAAGAGGATCTTGCTGCTGGAGTTGGTCGGTCTCGAATACCAGGCCCTTCCCACCACCAATACTCTGACGATGAAGATGACTATGAGGATGATGAGGAGGAAGTAACTGGTTCTGCAGGCACATCTAACAGGTTAGCATTGAAATGTGTTGTAATAGTTATTTATTTTTATGTTTCTGGCTATGACCTGACTGAAGGAGGCTAAAGCTATTTAAATGAGTGAATGATTTAGTTTTTAGCTACTTACGGTTTTAATCCGCTGTCTTTCAGGTGTAGACGGAAAGCAAGTCTGCGATCACGAACTGGACGGGTAGCAACTGGAATGGAGAGCCAGATCGCCCTCACTGTATTGGCCGAGAAACTGAAGAAGGAGGCCCAAAGGAAAGATGCCCTGAACACACCCCTTTCTGTACGCACAGAGGGGCGCACCGGGGGCATTTGCATCACATCTGCTTCACAACCTTCCCCCACACCGAGCAATGAAAGCACTGACACAGCCTCTGAGATCGGCAGTGCCTTCAATTCCCCGCTGCGCTCACCTGCGCGCTCCCAGGCTGCCACACGCCCGTCCAGTCCAGTCGCATCCCATCTGTCTCGTGTGCTGTTCGGAGAAGATGAGATGCTGAGGCTAGACTCCAGACATAATCGTGCTGTAAGAGAACTGGGTCCCTCTGTCAGCGTAGCCTTGTTACACCTGCAGGAGGATGGAGTCATCTTTGCTCTCCCTCCATCTGGTGAGTACAAGAGATCGTTATTGTCGTCCATGTTATTTACAGGGGTGGTTTAAAAGCCTCTGCTGAAGCAAGCATTTCAGTCTGTCGCTTGATATTCAGAGTGCAGTCAGAGTATATTCATCATCTTAGACAGTAGAAGTAAACAGTTCGGGTTGACCTTAATGAGAATAGCATACACAACATTTAATAATGGATCGTCTGTGTCGTCTGGCTACTTTTTGATAAATTGTTACTTTATCAGTAGATTTGGCTGCTGATGGCACAAAGCAGCCGTGCACTCCTGAAAAGACAAAAGACAAAGAGCAACCAGGAGAGAAGGAAGGAGTGAACGAGGGAGACGCGGGTCCGTCTGCGGAGGTGAAACAGGAGGAGAGCAAAGATGGGGCAGAGGTGAAACCTAGCAAGGAGAAACCCAGCACTATGGAAACCGCTGCAGACAGCAAGCCCCCTGGGGATAAGTACTCTCCTAAAGTAAGTCTGAGAATTTCCTCGTGTTATAATGCACTGTAGTATGTATCTTGCTATGCTTATCCGCCTGCCAGCATTTTTTTTAATAATACAGTACTCTCATATTTTTGCTTGTGCTGCCAATTAGGGAACTGTTTCTAAAGCTGTACAGTAAAAAATATATAATAAACAAACACACAGAGCGGTTAATCTTATTCTGTTTCTTGCAGGAGCTGCTCGCACTGCTCAAGTGCGTAGAGGCTGACATTGCCAATTACGAGGTGTACCTAAAGGAGGAAGTAGAAAAGAGAAAGAAATACAAAGTAGGTTTTGTTTACGTGGAACCAATACTGTATCTCTGGTGAGATGATGTTTTTATTGTCTTTTAATCAAAATCTTTTTCTTTTCATTTGGATCAGATTGATGATCAAAGGAGGACCCATAATTACGATGAGTTCATCTGCACCTTTATATCAATGCTGGCCCAAGAAGGTAAATCGTTACTTTTCTGTTGCTTCCCTTTACCCTTCCATGAAAAACATTTGCAAACCTTTTTCTGAAGCTTCACTTAAATTCCTGGCTTCTCAGTGGGGGGGGATCATTAGCATCTAAATGTTTCACATCCACTCACATCACACTGTTTTTATGGATATTTTATTTTGTACTGAATGCCTGATCAAAACTACAAAGTCAGTTAAGAGTCGCGGTTGTGAGGGTGGGGGGGAGAGAAAGAAATATAAGTAAGTTTTACTAGTACTTGTGGGTAAATGTCAGACACATTTTGTTATTTTTTGTGTGTCAAGACAAATAACATTTTTTTTTTTTTTTTTTAAATTGAGGTTCTGAGTGTTAAGTTCAAATAGATCCATCCAGTCTGAAATAGACACAGAAACATATTTTTCCATTTCTAACCACCAGATGGAAGGGATGCAAAAACTAAATGCTAAAAATCTGTTGTTTTGTTGGTATTTTTTTAATAATCTCTTTGTTCCTTCCTTCTGACTGGGTGTTTCCTGCAGGCATGTTGGCCAGCCTTGTGGAGCAGAACATCTCTGTGCGTCGTCGGCAGGGAGTGAGCATCGGCCGCTTGCACAAACAGAGGAAGCCTGACCGCAGGAAACGCTCCCGACCTTACAAAGCCAAGCGCCAGTAATTAAAAACAATCCTAACCTCTGTAAGCAACTTACTCCTGTGAGCACCGAGCAATCACCCCAGAGAAAACAAAAAGAAACTGATGCACTCCTTGAACTGTCTCATAAAGGCAGTTTAGTGTTGTATTTTAGTCAGAGCCTCCTCTTGAAATGAAATCGACCACGCATTTGGTTAGTTCTTTTATCCTTTATGTATATATGTGCGACCATTTTAGCCTCCCTCTGTAAATTTTCTTCTTTCTTGTGCCACTACTATTGACAGATTGTGAATATGAAAAAGGCATGTCCTCAACGATGCAGCTGAATGCTTTTTCATCTCCAAGTATTCATTCTTATCGAAAGGTCTTGTGGTCATTACAGTTTAGTGTGTCACTAAATATATACAATTTGGTTACAGGCAATATTTCCTCAACTGTATCCCTTACTCATGTTTTTATGGTGCCAATGAAGTATTGAATGTTTTGACTATAGAAGGCCATGTATTTTATTCATCCATAGAATTTCAGTTATAATCTATTCACTGTTGGTAATTCTCTATATAGCATAGAAAAAAGCATCTTTTAATCACATTCTTCATGGACAATTTTAAACTCAAGAAGAAGAAGAAGTCATGATGCATCAATGTTTTTTTTTTTTTTTCCTTTTCATTGGAATGTCTTTTCCACTAAGGGTTTCTAGCTGTGTATGTATGTCCCTTGAGGTCCTGCAAATGAAAACAAGCTCTTGTGTTATTTTTGTACCTGAGATGGATCTCAAAGTGAGTGAATATTAAGTCGGATGTGTGCACTTGTGTGTTTTGTACATATGTATCCGTTAATTGGCTCACCTGTACACTGAGTTCAGTTGTTCTTTGTGCTTGCCAATTCATACTACAATAAAGTCATAAGAAAATATCTTGCTATAATCCAGATTTCTTTTGTCGGGTGAGTTTAAAGTGATGAGACTGCAGTGGTTGATCCAGGATTACAGTGTTTTATAATGGCCATGAATGGATTCCATCTCATTGTACAACAATGTCTTCACAAACTGTGTTACAAATCTTAGTAGGGTTATTAAATTAGGTTTATTTTCTGAAGCATATTCGACCACGTGTTTTATTGTAGTGACAGTTGGTGTACACTAGGGAGAGCAGTCATTCAGAGACGAGTGGGACCGTCTCAGAGTCATCTCTTTTACTACTTTAACGAGCCATTCACAACGAAATGGACTTTCTGAAAAAGGGTTGAGTTGTTCGCTGTGCCTGTGATGTGGGATTATATGTGTTTGTATACTGGTATTTTTGTATTTGCCAGAACAATCTCACTTTTCATCCACAACAGTCTTTTGTTATGTTACATTTACAGTAAAATACTGAACAGCTACAGTTTTATTATTTTAAATATCTCACATTAATTTGATAATTATTGTTAAATTAATTAAGTTGGTCAACAGCTGTTTTACCACTAGACATACTATGGTTGTGATTTTTGGCCAGTTTGTATATTTTATTTCCTTTCTCTTTCAGCAGTGTCTGTCTTTACCTTTGGACATATTTGAGCACTGGCATGATTATCTTATAATAATGACACTGGCTCTCTGGCAGAGTAGCAAAGTACACTCAGTGGCCTATGTGGGAGTGGGAACTAAAAAAAAAATAAATACTCCTCCGCCACATATCTTCAGTGGAGCAGATGTTTGAGTTGAATAAAACCATGCTGTAGTGTTATGTCACCACTGTTTGCCTGTAATTTGGTTTAGAGACACAGACGAATATCTCCGGCTGTCTTCATCATGCAGCCCAGTAGTATATTTGTAAAATAATCATGACATTGTCACTTGTCTGAATATGTTTTATTTTTGTTGTTTGTTTTATATTTAGTAGATCAGTCTGCAGGCACTCGGCTGGGGAACCGGAGGGTTGCCGATTCAAGTCCAGCACAGACCACAGTATGGAGTGTGGACTGGTAGCTGGAGAGGTGCCAGTTCCACCTCCTGTGCACTGCCAAGGTGCCCTTGAGCAAGGCACCTAACCCCTGTGTGTGTGTGTGTGTGTGTATAAACATTGAGTAAAAAAAATCCCCCGTTGGGGATTATTAAAGTACATATTGTTCTTTCTCTTAGATTATTGCATATGCCTATTCTATCAAACATTTTTGTGTTAGTATTAGGTCTACACCTTAGTTATTTTCATTATGAATTAATCAATCTTCAATTTTTTTTGATTAGTTGATTAATCATTTGATCTATACTATGTCAGAAAATAGTAACAAAAAGTCCAAACCCCAAAAATATTTATTTTAATACCACAATATATTAAGAAAAACAGCAAATATTTACATTTCAGCACAAACAGGTAATATTTGGCCTTTTTTATAATATTAATCAATTATCAAAATATTTGTTGATTGTCAATGAATCAACTAATACTTTCAGCTATTATAATGCATTAGAGCACTTTTCAAGGAACTCAACACTTCACAAAGGTAAAATACATAGGTTAAAGGAACAACACAGTAAAATAAATAAAATAAGATATAATGTCTATATCTACAGCACACAACAATCAATCACACATTAAAAGCAGTATAGTAATCTTTTAATCTATGAATCGACTAATACTTTCAGCTGTAGAGAATTGTGTCAGGAAATGATCAGTGTAGGCTACCCAGAATATAATTTATAATAATGTAGTGTTCTCATAGGAAGGAAACAGCAAAATGTAGACAGACATGATCAATTGTCACATTTCCAACAAGCAGCCAATGACTGAGCGCCGTGAATTGAATCAGGGAGGTCCCAGTGGTCTCCAGTCATGTGCCACAGGGGGCTCAGAGGCGTTTGCGTGGTGACTTGAGATAACAGACCACCGTGAACGCGCACGTACGAGCCACTCAAGTTCCCACCCATTGCGTCTGCGCGCTCCCCTTAGCCCTCTCCGTCAGCGCGCGTGCTCCGTGCGGGATGCTGAATTGTAGGTGATGATGGCGGAAGGGGAGCAGCGCTGAGTTTCATCTGAGTTTTTACCACAGCTGTAGAACCATCTACAACATCGTTTCTCTCCGTCGAGACCTATCCCGAGGCGATGGGGAACGAGGCCAGTATGGAAGGGGAGGGACAGGCGGGACAGCCCGGCCCCGCCGTCCCTGCAGCGGGGGCTCCGGCTTCCATTTCAGCACCACCGGACTCTGGACAGCTCATCAAGCCCAGCAATGGAGCGCCAGCCGGAGGAAGTGGGGCTGGACCCGGGCCGGGGATTAACAGGTAGCCGCTATAGCTAGGACGCTTCTCCCGGAGAGAAATCAGGGGAGGCTCCACGGCGGGGTGGCGTTTACGGTACATCTGTACGACGTGGAGCGTAGATATAGGATCAACCGAGTGCGTGGAGATAGACTTGAATGGGTGCTTAATTATTTATTTCAATATCCTTGTCAACACAATTCACCACCCCCCTTTTTTTTAGACCCATTTCTGCTTTCTGGCAGCACCACCCTGTTACTCAACGTCAATGTGGGTCGAAGTCAAATTTAATATTCAACGCTTTCGATGTAGAATCAATAAGACGTAAATATAGCTTTCAAACGCTTCAATAGGCATTTCTACGCCCGTTTTCACGGTGTCTGTCCCGAAGGCACCAGTGGCTAAGTATCGTGAATGAATGAGCGACATTTTTCTCCTCATAGTGAGGCAGTGCCAAGTAAATATGAATACTTAGGAATGCATGTTGCAAATATTAATGTCCTCATATGAGTGTAGCTTCAGGTGATAAATAAATTAGAGCTGTAAATGATGCAAAGTGCACAGGATCTCACGTTGAAAAGGACTCAGTCGGGTCCATTACAGGTTGATTTCCTCAACATGCTTCGGACATGAGTACCGGTGAAAATACAAAGTCATTTTCTGAGAAATCACCTTCCTCCTCACGAGGAGACCGTCTGTATCGTGATGACAGCGTTGTGTACGATGACAAGGCTGCCATGACATATCGCCAGCGTCATTGTGAGCACAGGACCATAACGCGTACATGCCATTATAGCTGTCTCACTTATCAGATCTCAATCCAAATCAATATGCAGACAGTGGAAAATTATGTTTTTCACCACCACAGGAAAAAAAAAGAAAGAAAAGAGGGTGATTTCTTCTGGAATAGTAGTGTTGCATCTCTCTATAAGAAATCCAGACACTGAGCCCAGACACATTAAATACTACTGTGGCAAGCCCTTACATGACAATATTTCCAATATTTTGGCAGGTGCATATGGAAACCCCATGGTTGTCCTCATAACAAGGCAATATAGGCTGATAAAATATTACCCTTTTTCCAAAATCATTAGTGTTTAATCACATGTAGTAGCCTGTAGGTCTGTATTTACTGTGTGGGTGTGTGGGAGGGATTACCCTTCCAACAGGATCTGATATTGCCTTAATTACACAGTCCAACAGTTGTAGACCTGAATACGCACAAGCGGAGGCACAGCTGCATCTTGGATTTGCCTCACCAGCTTACAGTCTCTCTCTGTACTTTAGCCAGCCATAGAAAATGTTGTATAGATTTTGTTCACGCTACAGTCCCTCGTTCGAGACTAAAGTCATCTTTTGTCATCGGCTTCTCTGCTTGATTTGTCTCATTACACAAAGTGATAGTAAGGTATGACAGTGAGCTGTAGCTAGAGAATCATATACCTTTAACGTTTAGTCCTGTCTGTGTTTCTATTTGGAAAAAGCACTCTTTGTTCATCTTGTACATTCACTGTGGGGCAGGTTTAAAGGCTCATAGCGCCCATGTAACCTCATGATTCTTTTATATCTTGATTTCTCTCTGGTATCCACCCTGAGGTGTCTCATAAGGCGATAGCGAGTGCTGAGACACTGAGTGTGCTGAGAGAGGAATGGTGAGAGAGAGAGAGAGAGAGAGAGAGAGAGACAGAGAGTATATCATATGGCTGATTAAAATGTTTTTTCTTAAGATCATGGCCCTACATTCAGTCTGAATCTTTGCCTTTAAATACTCTTCCACAAAGAACTTGTGAGCGTGTAAGAAACAATGAGACGGTGGCTGGGTTGAGGGGTTGAGACTGTAGATAGGAGACTTTCATCTTAATTAAAACGAGTTGAAGCATTTTATGAGTTTGCCTATTAATATGAATGGGGACATAATGTGCTATATATACCCATATTCTGAAGTGAGGTTCCTATAGGCATTTTTTCTTTATCTCAGACCATATTATATTTTATTCATCACAGTCAAAGAGCTAAATCTGAGGCATTATATGAATCCATGAAGCTATGGGAGTCACCCTACCTTTCTGCCTCGGAAAGCACCACAGTGGTTGTTTTCTTCTCTGATCATAACAGCTTTGACTAAGTGCACAGTCATCCCGACCTGATGACTATAACTGACAAACATTCAGAATAATAAGAAATACTGATTTGTGTTGAATGCAATCTCCAGATATTTCCTGTGTTTACAACGAGTTCAATACGCTGTTGCTATATTGTCGTCTCATTGTTTAACAACAGAATAAGTGAGGAGTACTGCGCCATCGTGTAATAGGTTGTATAGCGTGGAGAGTAATTTGATTCAGTTTGTTTAACATACTATGCTGCTGACATTGGTCTGTTTCAATCAATATAAATCACACAAACAAATCTACAGATCGTAAAACATACTGATGAAAATAATGGATACATGCAGGCATGTTCTAAGACACAAACCTTCATAACTAATTTACCTTCAGCAATGGAAGCACGGTTCACGATGTAGCCTAAACATAGCAAATTGTTATCACAACTCAAACAAATAATGCAAAAGCAGTTATTTATTTATTTATGACACTATGACAACAGTAGGATGCAGAAAATGAAAGGCTACTGGCAGTGTAGCATTTTTCAGATGTCCAATACTTAAATTAGAAAA